TGTGAGCACTGGAAGCAAACCACCAGCGCCTATACCCCATCCCCCACAGCAGTCAGCTCACCAAGCACCGCAGCAGATCTTCCCCACGCAGATGCCCTACGGTTCGTACCCGTACATGAACATGAACATGTACAGCCCGGTGACTGGGGTGCGAGCTGAAGATCAGTATGCTGCCCTCTACGCTGCGAGTATGCCGTTTGGAATGGGTGTGGATTTATCGGCGATTCTTCCACCGACGACTCCGATGTCGCAAGCGGGAGCCAGTCAACAACATCCGGGTTCAACCCAACATCGCTCTGACACTCATAATCTGGTCGACATGAACAAATTCGCTTCTGGAAACGCTAGAGATGGCACCGGACAACAACCGTCGAACGTCGCACCGCCTCCTGGATTCGCGAACCCGTCGTTTATGCCACAACCTGGCTTGTCGTCCCTGTTCCTTCAACAACAATTTCCGCCGCATCCATATTCGTTTATGATGCCGAATGTCGGATCTGGACGTCAGATGTATCCACAGGAGGACGATCGCAAATCTTACGATAAAATGGGAGGAGCAAAACAAGCACAACCCACTCCTCCGCAACACTATCACAACGGTGGATATCTCAACAGCGGCCTCAACAAGAAGCCCTATAACTGGAACTCTTAACTGGTTGCACATGTTCTCAATCTCTTAAATTCGTGTTAATAATAAAAAATCATTCAAATCACCTGTGTGTGTTGGTAAAGGATATTTCCTTAGTTTTTCCACACCATTCCGAAGCAATTTTTCCATCAAAATTTTTAGAGCATGACTTCACCCGTCGTGCTAGTAACTGGTGTAACCACTACCCTAGGGAAAGCAATTGTCCGTCGTCTAGCTTTTGCGGGTTATAATGTGGCAGCAGCTGGTCAGTGCGCCACAACAGTCAATGAAATTACTTTGGACAACAGAAAGGTTTGTGAGAGTGGATTTTTGCATGCAGGTTAAGGGTTATTTGTGTTTTGCTACCAATCAGCTGTGAACGTTAGTGCAGTAAACTGATAAGTCGCTCATAGAGATCATTTCTTCGAAGAATTCATCCAGGGTACCACACTATCTCACTGCCTTTGCTCTTTTGAACATGTTAGCTTCGGGCAGTTTACTTGAAACCTCAAGGGAAACGTGTCAAAAAGAGCGAAAGGCAGCGCCGCACTGCGCACGCACGCTGGTTCACATTGGAACTTTTTTGGGGCGCAC